TCCTTTGTTACATCACTAGTGCCTCATGGCCTGCTGCTCTTCACCCCGTTTCCTCGAAGGTGCCCTCAGAGCCTCACAGAGCGCATGTGCTCTCATCCATCCAGCGCCATGCTGTTTCTTCTTTTGTCACGGCAGGCCCCACGCTACTTTGTAGACCTTCGGTCAGACATGATGAACCAAAGCCTCCAGCCAGAACACAAGAGACATCGGAGAGAGAGAGGCCCCTGCAGTATAAGCAACCCAATAATGGAAGACAAGGCTGGATGGACCACAGAACGGTCCGCCAAGCCCACTCTTGTTGTGGGAGAGTAGAGTTGAGCCACATTGAGGCCCTGAGAACAACGAGCAGCTCCCCCAGAAGCCGGGGTGGCTGCAGCTGAAGCTGAGAGGAGCGGCCAGGAGCCCGCGCGGTTACTCAGTGCGCTGTAATTAAGCTCATCCATAATTTGATAAGTGGGAGCAGCCTAACATTTTATAGAGTAATTAAGTCCGAGAGAGCAGGACAGGGCGTTTCTGGGCCCCAGCATCCCCTGAGGTGGGTCCCCATTTGAGTTCTCTCTCCTCTAACACACGTCCGTCCGTCGGTGGTGAGGCACAATGGTGCTCACCCGGCCCTGGGAATGCTCCCTGGCCCTGCTGTCTCCACCCCTCAGTCCCTCCACCAGGGCCCAGGCCACTGGCAGGTCCCACAGAAAAACGGCCACAGCTCCAGTGAGACCCAGGGCCCAGGCTCCCTTCCACACTGCTCTCTGCAAAACTGTGGGCTAGGAGAAATTGAGTTCAGTGCTCCCCTCATCCCTCCTTCATGGGCTACCTGGCCAGCCTCTGACTGAGTGGGGTCAAGGGTCCTGATGGGGAGACTGAGGCAGCCTAGGAGTTAAGGAAGGGGCCCCACGGATGGAAGCCAGGCTCTCCCACTTCCTGGCCCTGTGATCTCAGGTGAATCACTTCACCTCCCCAAGACTCAGTTTCTTTGTAAAATGGCAGTGGTGGTCCAACCTAACTCATAAGCTATTTGTGAGGAACAGATGTAAGAGGAGTCATGAGTGTACTTAGTAGCGAGGGGGCCCACGTGTAAGACATTGTCAGCATCTCTCACCAAAGGTGTTAAAACCTGTGTCCAAGTCCTTGTCACTGGAAGGGACCCAGGTGGTCATTCAGCCTGGTGTGTGTCCTCAAGAACAAGAGATGGGCTAACCACAGCCGAGACCTCCTGCTCAGACAGTGAGGAATATGGAAACCTTGTCAAGTGAGGGACCTGGGCTCTTGCACCTGACCTGGCCATTTCCAAACACCCGATGTTCTGTGCAGTTCTGGGTCACGGCCAAGTGCCAGAGGACTTATGTTCAAGGTGGCTGATTTCAGCTCAGTCTTTGGAGCTGTTCTCCTCCACCTCCCCCCAAGGACATGCTGTCTCAGGAGGTAATGAGCTCCTTGCTCCTTGCCAGAGGACTTATGTTTGAGGTGGTAGATTTCAGCCCAGTCTTTGGATCAGTTCTCCCCAACCTCTCCCCAAGGACATGCTGTCTCGGGAAGTAATGAGCTCCTTGACCCAGGAGGGCTTCAAGGCTTGGCCAGGTCCCTGGGGGCTGAGAGTCAGGCTTGGTGGTGGTTGAATCCCGTTTCCCTCTCTGAGGTTCTGGTGATCCTAGCAGCCCCTCCCAGCTCTAGTCCAAGCCCTGGTCCCTGGTCCATAGCCCAGCAAGTGCTCACCCAGTCCATCAGAAGCTGCCACTCACAGACCAGCTTCCTTAGGGTGCACACACACCAGGAGGGCCTTGGGATGCTCTGGGCTTGCCTGTGTGGTCTCCAGCAGAGCACCAGGCCCCACGGCTCTCCTTGTTCCACAGCTTCATCTGAGGACCCTCCAGCCCCAGGCTCCTAGAGCCCTCAAGCACTCTGCGAGCACCTGCAGACTCTGTCTCTGCCCAAGGTTGGGTCTCGGTGTTCCTAGAGCATGCCCTCAGAAAGGTCCCTTACAGGAGGGCAGCATTGGCCCCATCCAGGCACATTTCCTCCTGGAGGGATGCAGATGGGCTCCCCCAGCACCGGCTCTCCCACAGGGGGCCGGGAGGGAGGTGCTGGCTCATGTGGCAGGACTCTGTGCTTGTTACTGTGTATATGCTTACAGACTTTTCTCACTGTTACATAATTGAGGTATTTTTTCCCCTCCTTATTTTAGATCCTGGTGCCATCTGCCCTGCTTTTCATGCATCGCTAGCTCCGGGCTGGAGGTTAGATCTGGCTCGGCCACCCAGTTCTAGCCCTCCCTTGGCAAGAGACTCTGGGTCATTGGTTTCTTTCTGTGTACCGTGAGATAGTAACCCCACGCTGCCTCCCTCAGAGGGCCGCTGCGGGACACAGGGGAGAGGCCGCGAACTGGCTGGGTAAGGCAGCCAGCCCCGTACAGATGTGCCTGTTGTCATCTGGCAGCCTGAGATTGGTGTCACCCAAGTGAGGGAGCCTCTGCCCGCTCCTGTCTGCACCTGCCCCAGCCGAGCTCCGCCGAGCTCCACATAGCTCCGCAGGTCTCCGCAGAGCCAGGCCCTGTTTGAGACGTGGGAAGTGCATGAGCCACACAAGTGGGGAGTCTGGCGGACCCCCTGTCAGCAGCAGCAGAGACAGGCCCCAGGCCTGCAGGGTCAGGCTACCCTCAAGCCTGCTCACAAGTCTCTTGGCCCCACGTGGCATGGTAAGCGCCCCCTGTCAGAAGCAACCTGCACGGAGCTCTCAGCCAGCCTCCAGCCATCAATGAAGGCACCCTAGAGATCACGCTCCTCCCTGAGGCAGCCCCCATGGGCGCCATCTGTACCCCGCAGAACGGGAGCCTCCTCTCTCCCCTCAATATCCCACCCACCAATCTCCACCCCAAGAATGGGCAGCTCTCTGCTGACAGACAAGCAGGGAGGGTCTGGGTGCCGGGTTAGTTCCCAGGACTGTTGGGGTGAGGTGATGGTGAAGAGCACCGCTCAGGAGACTTTTGTCACAGATCCCCTGTGACACGGGGTGAGTCACTTTCCCTCTTTGGGTCTGAGTTATGTCATCTGTAAAATGGGAACAGCCATCTCTGTTCTGCCTACCTCTGCGTCTCTTGCAGGGATCAGAACTAGACCTGCTCCCAGGGAGGCTCTAGGCCACCAGAGTGAATTTGGTCACTGTGAGCTTTTAATTAGCAGTGAGATCTGGAAAGAAGGTGCTCTGGGCTTTTCAGTCATTGGGGTAAAAATAAAATCTCAGGGCGGCCTCCCGGACAGCCTAACTGTCTTGTCCTACTCCCAGAGACCCCCACAGAGGAAGACATAGCTTGTCCAGTGCTCAGGAGCCTGCTTTCCCTTCCCTCTAATTCCCGGATATCCATGCACACGTGTAACTCCAAGCGTTGCATCCACCCAGCTCTCATAAAATAGAGCATGATAACAAAATCTCCCGAGCTGCAGAAATGCAACTCTGAAAGGTCAGTTCTGGGATTCAAAAGGATGTGGCCGTAATGTGAAGACGATGGCCATGGGATGTCCAACTCTGGACAGCGTCAGCCCTGACCACCCACCCTGTCATCCCCACCGGCCCTCCTGGCCTCACCTTGCAGACAGGTGTCTGGGCAGGGCATCCCTGATTGAAGACAGAGGGGACCAAAGCCCAAAAGGCAGGCTGAATTTCCTCCTGTGAGACACCCTGTTCCTTGGCACTGCCTGACCCTGGAGGCCACGCCTGGCTGCCCAGCTGTTCTTCTGCCTTCTGGCACCAGGTTCCACGTTTATTACAAACAGCTACTTGCAGAGCAGGAACGCTGTTTCTAAAGGGGTCTTGCTCTTTGTGGCCGGACCGGAAGGTGGAAGGTGGATCGGGAACACTCTGAGACCTCAGGTTTGGACGGAAGCAACCAAGTTGGGAGCAGAGGCCGCCCAGGCAGCGGAAGAAGCAGAGCGCCCTCTAGCGGCAGGCCTGGCCCTTCCAGGGAGAAGGCGGAAGTGCTGGTTTGGTTCGCGGGTCTGCCTGCAGCCACCTGCAGCCGCCTGGGAGAGAGCGTGGTGCCTGGTTTGGGTCCAAACATCCAGGCTCTGGGCAATTTCAGGAATAGCAGCATTCAAACCCCAACCCAAGAAGTGATAACACAGACTCTATCTATCAGTAACCTGGCTTAATTAAAAATAAGGCCACAGCAGGAAGACAAGCATATGGCGAAGGCCCCCTGAGAGTGTGTGTGTGTGTGTGTGTGTGTGTGTGTACCATATGAGACAGGCCGGGAACCTACACCTACCCCAGGCGCAGGCCTGTGTACCACGGTTTCTGCCAAGAGTGTCCCATCAACACGGTCCTACCCCAGGCAAAACTACACAGACTCAAACCAGAAACAAACCAACCTCTCAGCCAACAAGCCCCTCTACACAAGTTCTGAGAGGTTGCAGAAATCCCAAATGGAAATTTACAGAATGTCCTCACCCCTTGGAATTGCTGGCTCTGGGCCACACACACAGGTACCATGGACATGTACAGGGGTGCACAGTGGACGTGCAGGGAGTCTGGCTCAGGCGAGGGTACAGAGCCCGTCACAGGATCCTCAGATAACTGGATCCAGAGCAGGCAGGAACACAAAATGTGAAGCGTTTCTACTGCGGTGGCAGAATCACCCAGCCTGGACCATGTATAAACCACAGACGGTTACTCACCTATCCTCTCTGGGCCACAGATTCTTCGTGTACAAAAGAAAAAATATCTGTCCTTTTTACCTTAAACCATGAGGCTGGTTTCAGGATCAAATGAGAGAAATTTTTGAACTGCCATTCGGCTTTAAAATGTAAAGAATCTGGGCGCCTGGGTGGCTCAGTGGGTTAAGCTGCGGCCTTCGGCACAGGTCATGATCTCAGGGTCCTGGGATCGAGCCCCACATCGGGCTCTCTGCTCAGCAGGGAGCCTGCTTTCCTCTCTCTCTCTGCCTGCCTCTCTGCCTACTTGTGCTCTCTCTCTGTCAAATAAATAAAAATATTTAAAAAATAAATAAATAAAATGTAAAGGATCTGTATTGTATTTTATAATAAATCCGTGTTGAATATAAACGTGTCTTCCCAAAGTCTTTGTATGAAATCAGCTTCAGAAAGATGGACGTACCATGTTTCAAGGTGCAAGGACCCCACCCGCCACTCCACACCCCCACTGAGAAGCCCACACCACTCACGGTGCCCCCAGGTAGGGCTGAGCTAGCCCTTCTGGTTAATGCTACAACTGGCAGTAGGTCCTCCTGGGACTGTGGAGAGTGCACAGGCAGGCCACCAAGAGGGGCGACACTAGACCCTCCCTCCCACCCTCCAGCCCTCCTCCCTCCCTCCCAGCAGAGTCCCCCAAGCAGAGGCCGGTAGGAAACTCTTCAGTGTATGTAGATCCAGTCGGACACCGCTGCGGGCAAGTGGGTCATGACCTGCATTCGAAGCCACCAGTAGTAGTCCATGGGGTGGTAGCGAGTGTAGGGGCTGGCGGAGGTCAGGGCGTGGGTGACAGCATTGATGACAGGGGACGTGTCTGTGGAGCCGCTGTTGCAGTAGGTCTCCATCTTGGCGATCTTCTCGTCAAAGTACTTCCTGCCGTAGTCCCGGCGCACCACCTCGGGCAGCTCGTCCCACATCTTATTGGCAATGGCCTGGATACGCTCGGGGCTGTAGAGGCTGGTGGCGGCGACGAAGTTGCCAGGTTCCACCACGCTGACCTTCACACCCAGCGGGTGCATCTCGTAGCGCAGGCAGTCGGAGAAGGCCTCCACCCCGAACTTGGTGATGCAGTAAGGCGAGCGGGCCAGGTTGGCCATGCGGCCCAGCATGCTGCTGATGTTGACGACGCGGCCTGCGGAGGAAGACGACAGAGCTCTGCTCACAAGGCGCTGACTGGTCGGGCAGAGGGCGGGGCCAGGCAGGCTGCTTTGATGCCTGAACCACCCAGGGTCAGGGGGACCTTCTAATACACAGTCGAGGCCAGCTCAGGCCACATGTCCAGCTTTTCCCTGACTATGCCAGGCAGGACAGGCCAAGAGAAATGAGCCGGCCTGCATCCAGGAGGGTGTGGGGTAATGCGTAATGGATGCTAGAGCGCTCACGGCAGGCAGCCCAGGCCAGGGTTCTGAACATGATTTTAGTGCTAGGACAGAGGGACGGAGTCTTCAGTACTAGAAGACGGTGGGGACCTCAAGAGGCTTTCCCACAGGCCTGGCCTCGGGAAGCGGGATGGAGGTGGAGCCCGTCCAAGCAAGCCCAAGCGGACCTGGGACATGCTTGTCCTGGGAATGCCCTCGGGAAGTTAAGACCCAGCCCCAACCTGGGCACCTCGGGGAGCTGCCTTTCAGAAACCTCTAAGTTGGAAGTCTCTGGAGGGTTGGGGTTTTCTTCTACAATCCTACAGAAGCTCTCAGGATTCATCCTATCATTGCTGAGACTTTGGGAGAGATCCTGTGGGATCACCCCCTTTTTGCCATCATTGTTTGCTATCTAGAGAGAATATCCAAATCAGTGACTTCTTTGGCTACCTAACATGGTCTGAGTTCTCTGTCTGCTTTCTAAATTCCTAATCTCGAAGATTATTATTACTATATTTTACATTCTACCACATTGTCTTATTTTGTAACTGCGGCCTAGTGACCCAAAGAATGGATCTACCAACACTGACTTCCCCGTGCCTCTCTAGGTAGTTGCTGTATATAGACACAGCCCCAAGCACAAGGTGGTTATTTCTCTAGATTAGGTCCCCAGAGTGGGACGGCTGCTGTAATCTTTCAGCCTTTGAGACTGCGACCTCTCAGCCGCCTTCCTTTCTGAAAACCACACATACCTTTCCACCTGCCTGGCCAAGACAGCTCCCCTTACCTCCATCCACGAGACCTGCACGGCACCCAGGAAGCCTGTGCTCAGCCTCACTGGGGTACGGAGGCTGGATCTGCAGAGACCTCTTTCCAGTCTAGGCAAAGATGAAAAGACAGGATGGGAGGAAAACCCTTTCCAACTCACCTTTGGCCCTTCGGATGAGGGGGAGAAAGGATTTTGTCATCCGCACGGTGCCCCAGAGGTTCACTTCTGCCACTTCCTTGTAGGTCTCCATACTGGTGAACTCCACTTCTCCGAAAGTCGAGACGCCCGCATTGTTAACGAGGCCCCACAGGCCTGGACAGGATGGAACAGAACCACCGTCACCACGCAGCCTTGGCCTCGGACACCACCCATCACCCTGCAACCATGCCTCTCCTCGCTTTTGTCCCTTTCCCTCCAAACTCGCCACTTACAAGGCTCTTGGGACATTTCCTAGAATCACCAAGAATAACAGGAGACAGAGAGGCCTATGGTATAGGCTGGGACCCTGTCTTAAGTCTAAAACATCCAATTACCATCTCACTCCTCCCTGCATGGCCTCTCTGGGCCCGCAATGACCCAGCCGTGCCAGATGTCCGCAACCTGGGGTCACTCCCACTGGCTCCACACAGTCACCTCTCCATTCCTGCCCCTGCACCTTCACTTGCCTTCCACCTCTGGCCAAAAGCCTGGAGAACCCCAGGAGTCTTCCAGGCCAAGCCTTCTCTGGAGGCCCAGGGAGGGGACCCAATATCCAGGGTCTTATAGCTGTCAGAGGCTCAGCTAAGACTTCACCTCAGGTCCAGCCCCAGTCCTGATCCATCCTGAGCCCCTGACCATGACCTCAGATCTTCCCCTCTCACAATACGCACTGTTTGCTGTTATCCCTGGTGAGCCCCATCACCCGTGTGTATACACCTGGTCTCTGCAGGTTAAGAACACCCCTCAGCCTTGTGTGGTCCCAGGCAGAGGACAGAGCTAGAGCAAACAGACACTCTCCAAGTAACCTGGGTTGACTGTTTCCTATAAGACCAGAGAGGGGACAGCTGGCTTCCGCAGACCCGGGAACCCTGGTGCTAGAAGGATCCTTGGAGCTCTGACAGCTACTTTTGTCACCAGGGAAGCAGAGGCCCTTCAGCATGCACAACCGGTCAGAGGCAGAGCAGAATGAGGGAAGGAGGCCCCAAGGAGGCCACCTTGCTTTGCAGGGCCTCTGAGTTCCATCTGCAGGGCGTGAGGACTGCATGGGCCGCAGCCTTGGGACAGAGCTATCTTCCTGCCTGTGGGAGCCCTGGTCCCACTTCGCTTTCCAAGTTAATCATGGAAACGAGTTTGCATGCATGACAGAGTAATTGGTCTCTAGCTGTGTTCCTTCCATGTTATCCAAATTAAAGCTTCAACTGACCTCTGGTGCCTTCTCCTTCAATTATGGAGAATTAAGAACATTTATCAGGGAAGGAAACTGCTAGTTAACAAAGTGCTCGTGAAGCTCTCACTCACTCCCCACAGTGGCTGAGCGGCAGCCACGGGCTCTCGGGTCTCACCAGTGACCTAGCACTGACGCGGCCACCACAGCCCGTCCTCCCCCAAAGTCTTCACCCGTCTCTTCTTCCCAGGAAGAGCCAGAAGCCTCCCACCACCTGCCAAGGCTGACCTGTCACCCTCCACCTTCCAAACCATAAGCTGTCACTCCTTGTTCCCTTTTTATGCAACGTTAACCTTTCTCTCGCCCCTGACTCCCTCCCTCCAATGTTGTATACATTAGATGCCCAATAAAGGTTTCTCAGATGAATGAAGGTCTACAGATACCATGTCTCGAGATCCCAAAGAACCTCCTCTTTACCATGCTACATCCTCACACCGCCGTCTGTTCTCCTTCCCTCCACGACCAGGCTTCTGAGAACACAAGCCACACCCTCCAGACCCCATTTCCCTGCCATGCTGGGTCCCAGCCCTGCTGCTGCCCCATGGTGTCTGGGGTGCAACATGGTAAGGGTGTCCCATCACGCTCACCTCCCATCTTCACTCCCCTCAACCTCTCCCCAGTATGAGCTCTACTCATGGTTCTCGACACTCATTCCTCCCTTGGAGCAACTCTTCTATCCTCCTGGCCGCCCTTCTTCTACCCGCCCCCTAAATACAGGCATCCGCCAAGGTCCCGTCCTAGAACACCTGCTCCCAAATTATGCTCCGTGCCTAGGCAGCCTTGTCTTCTTTATGTTCATGGAAATTTGCAGCTGCTTTGTGTTTGGTTCACACAAAACCTCATCCCACCTAAAGTGCATATCTTCTCCCTAACAAAAAACTAATTACAGCTGACAATGATATCCAAAAAAGTGTAACTGAACTTGACCTGTGAAAGCACATGGCTCCTGGATTATAGCTCCGCTGACTTGATAAGCAGTAACAGTCTGTGGAGCTAGGAGTCCTCAGCCAACACTCCACATAAACTCAAAATGAACACTGCTGCTCATTCCCGGGGACAGATGTTTCCCTGCAGCAGCCCCAGCAGTCACCACGTCAAGGGCTCCTGTGTACCCCTCGGACTCATGGCTCTCCTCCGACTGCGGTCTCCTCCTCCTGACGGTCACTCTCACCTCAGTGTCCTGCACACAGGTCCCCAGCATCCCCTCCCCACGCACCAGCATGGCAAGCTCCAGCTGCCCCAGCCCACGCCTTACTTTCCTCTTTGCTAACAGACCCCTGGACCTCTTCTCCCCAATCTGATGAGAACTATTAATACCACTGATCAAGATCAAAGGACAGAGGTCCGGCCCTGAGCTAAGCACTCTGCGTGCATTCGTTCCAAAGCTAAGCTATCCCAGGTCTGGAGGACACAGTTGGGGCTCCAGGAGGTTAAGCACCTTACTCAGTGTCACTCAGCTAACAGGGGGACAAGATAATTTGGACCCTGGTCTATGTGAAGACACAGCCCTCATGCTTGACCCTGTGCCACTGTCGGCTTCCTCTGCCATCTCGTCAAATCTGTGCCCTTTTTCCTCTCTCCACAGCATTAGTCTGGGGTCTTGTTGTCTCCATCCTATATCACTGGAAAACTTCTCCCAGGTCTCCCTGTCACAGCTTCTGTCCTCCACTTCCATCCTGGCCAGCCCCTCAGCTAGACCCTCCTCTGTTGGTCACTTCTTGCTCTAACGATTCCCTCTCGCAGCAGGTTCGGGAGGCCTCCTTTGCCGGGTTTCTTGTTCTGCTCTCTGGAAGCCTGAACAGCCGGCCCCTGCCCTGCCTCGTGGTCCCTCCTGCCTCTGCTGCTCCCTGACTCCACCCAGCCCTCCAACCCTCACTCCATGTTATTCTGCCCATGTGCCTGCAGTGGTCAGATCTAGGCATGAGCACTGGCTGTGTGAGCAGAGCATTTCTCCCTCTTCACAGATAGGTAAGTGAGGCCCACACAGGGGAAGGTGTGAGCCCAAGGTCACACTTCTAGTAAGAGAGTGAAGCCCACCATAACTCCAGACTTCCCACTCTCAGACTGAGGGTGTCCTAGTTGTAGAACTGGGTCTTCTCTATCCATGGCACAATGTCTCCAGTGCTGTAATGGTTCCGAAGAGGTCCTGCCATGAAGCCACCAACTTACATCTGGCTGGTGTCCAACCACAATCCTCCTGCCAGGTCATATCCTCATTGGTGCTCAGCACACTACCAAGCATACAGCAGGTACTCAATAAATATCTCCTGACTGTGAGGTTAAGTGATGGTTTCAACATACAGCCTGCCGGTTGGCTCACTCAGCCTTTTGCTGGGATGGGGTGGGCAGTGCTGTCTCCACGCTCCAGATGTCTATCCGGTCCCTCGGAGCTCTGCCGGCTGTGGCAGATGGCTCACCTGTTCTAATCAGACAATCCCCTTCATCTCACCCCCCGAGGCTGGCTCCCCTGTTCCACAGAGCCAGGATGAAAGGCACTTGTCTCCTGAAAGGATCCTGCCTGGGTAGAGTGAGTCGGAAGCGCGCACAGGCTTAGGGACCCCAGGCTGATCTGAAAGCTCTAGAAGGGCGCCACCTGGAGTTCAGAGATAGCATTGCCAGAGAAGGGGAGAAGGACAGAGGCTTGACCAGGAAAGCCGGCCCTGGGTAGGGCAGGGGTGGGGGCCACAAGGAAGAAAGAGAGGAGGAGGGAGAAGTGGGGACAGAGAAACCAGGACAACCACATGTCCAACAGATTTCTCATCTCACCAAAAAAATCTTCAAATCTTTTGCCAGAAAATGCAGTATTAGGTAAGTAAGCTCATGCTGTGGTTTATCAATCCTCACTGGAATGTGTCATTTGGGAAAAGGCAGCAGGGAAAAGTTTATGCATCAGAGTGGGGCTAGGGTTTGAACTCAGTCCCAGGGCAGGGGGTGTGAGCGACTCTCCCTGTGGTTCCGGGTCTGCCCTGCCTTGCCGGTCAAGCGAACTGGCCCAGACCAACAAAGGGAATGGAGGTGACTCTGTCCTGGCAGCGGGGGACCCGGGACCAGGGTCCTGAGCTACCCCAGCTCGGGTGCAGCCCCACTCTGTTCTCAGGTCTCCAGTGATGAGTTCTTTCCATGGGCGCCGTGGATCACCACAAACCCTCAGGCGCCATGAATGGCCTCACAGCACGGACTCCTGCCTCCTGGTTGATGAAAGCAGACGGGAGGGGTGAGGTGGGCTGTACCTCCAGAGCGGGGAATCACCCCGGGGAGACACATCCTGCCTCTTTCTTAATGGGACAGGAGCCCTGGCTCTGCCTGTTAATTATGAAATAGATGTTTAGTGAGTTAGGGAACTCACAGGCCTCTCCTCTGAGAGCAGACCAGCCTGGGAATGGCCCTCTTTGGAGGTGGGGGTGGCCCAGTGCTGCCAAGGGGATGCGTCAGGGACAGGCTGGCAGCCTGAGCAACAGCTTCCCTGACAGCCACATGGCACAGGAGCTCTGAGGCAGCTGCTGGCTGACGGCAGCATCTCCGTTTGGCTCATAAAGGCTCGACAGAGCCCAGCCCCACCCCTGTGGTCCCCTCTCCTCCCCTTCTCCCTCCTAAGGCCTGAAGTCACCACTCGGGAGAGATGCCCCCACCCTGTCTGGGGGAAAGAGAGAACGCTCTCTGTCTGGTTGGCCAGGAAGCTCAAAGGTAAACACCTTAGAGGAAGCAAGTAGCCCAGAATCATCACGGCTGTGTGCTCCATGAACGGGGTCTCCTCCCTTCTGTTGGACAGAGCCCGTCCCACCAAGATCCCTCCCTGGGCTGAGCTGGGAGAGAACACCCGAGTCCTTATGTTACCAGAACTTTCTACAGCAGGTGACCCTGTCAGCGACTGGCCCTCAAACTTTCTGTTCCTCCAGGTTTTGGGGGCACAGTCCCCAACCTCTCTGCCAGCTGCCTCTCCCCTTCTCTACCCCCTGATTGCTCATGTTCCCAGGAAGCCCACCTTGCATCTTGCCTACTCTAGCCTCACCTCCAGGCCTGGACATCTGGTCTCCACCCAGACATTCCCACAGGGCATCCCATGGGCACTCCCCATCCCTCATCACGCTCCTGCAGTGGGTGGGGGGGGGGGCCGGGCATCAGGAGAGGCCTCGTGCCCCTCCCTCATCCCCACATGTATCCATCACCAAGTCCAGCCAGCTATGCCTTCCCGACTCTGATCCCTCCATATCCCCAAACACCCACTGTCCTTGTTCAGTACTCCAGCACTCATGCTCTCCCTCTAAATCTGCCCTCCACGCTGCTGCCCCAGTCCCCAGACTGATAGTTCATTCCCCCTGGGATATGGACAGTGGGACCCAGTGTCCTCAGGAGCGCTATGGGCCCCAGGCCCTGGAGGACCTCTGTCCTCAACCCCATTTACTGCCACCACCTCCACCAGACTTGACCACGGACTTGGCCCCCCACATATCCTATGTGCTTCCCACCATTGTTCCTTCTCTCCCCGACTCTGGAATGCCCTTCTTGCACCCTGCCACAATCTGTTCTCCCTAACAGGCTCCCCACCCCACCCAAGACTGGGCTGTGACCCTCTGTCCTGTGCTGCTTCCTGAGAGGGGGTGTGGAGATCATTCAGGTTAGCCCCCCAGTGAACCTTGGAGAGGTCCTTGGGAATAAGGACTATGTCTTGGCCATCTCTGTGTCCCCAACACTTGGCCCGGAGTGGGCATTCAATGAACATTGTCTGAACTGACCTGCCCCTGTGCTCATCTGTTCACCACTCCTAGAGGTTTTGAAAGCACCTCTGGCTTTATTTCCCATTGCCTTATTGCACAGGTGTGTTTAATTTAACCCACTTCCTCCCGCTGTGTGAGAGGAAGAGTTTCAACAGCAGGGCAAGCAGGCTTTTGCAAGATACCGGTAAATGGGGAGTAGTGTTTAGGAAAGGGGCCCTCAGAACAGCTGGTGCACTACCCCCTGCGGCCCCAACGGGCCCCCTACCTTTCTCAGGGTCCTCCAGGCTCGAGCGGACGATCTCCACCACTTTCTCCACCTCCTCGTTCTTGCAGACATTGAGCTGGACAGTTCTTAGTCGATCACTCTTCAAGCTATCCAGCTCCTTGACCCCACCGTCTCCTTTGTCCTGGGGAGGAGAGAGGAGCTGCTTCGACCACCCCCTTCCCACCCTGCCTCCAGTCGGAGGACCAGGCCGAGGCCCTGCCAGAGCCTGGGGCTTACTAACAACTCTGGAGAGTCTCTGGAGACCCGCGGGGTCTGCTCGTCTGCCAGGTGGTTCTCTTCAACCCCAGGACTGACCACATGTCAAGCCAAACCAAGTGCCACAGACACAAGCCCCCAAGGCTTTCCTGGAAGGTGCCTCTCTCTAAGCCAAGGTTTCGAAGTGAGGACCCACCAGGGCTAGGCATGTGGGTGTCCGACAATAGGGAGGGTGGGGACTTGGGAATGAAGCACATGCCTACCTCTCCACCCCTGCCAGCTGCTGCCAACATGGGTATGGGTGGAACCCAGGCCTGCCAGCTGCTCCGATGTTTAAGCTAGTAGTTAGGACTTCCCAGTTTTTTAAGTGTTGGCAACTTACTCACGTTTAAAAAACAAAAACTAAACACTGTGTAAAGCAAAGCACATTCACAGGCCACATGTGACTGGAGGCTGCCAGTTTGTCACCTCTGGTCTAAGACACAGGCCTGTCACTACCAAGATGGTCAGAAGCCAGAGCAGCTCTCATTCCAGTCCCATCAACTACCCAGGCTCTGTGCCCTCAGGTGCAGCCCTTAACAGGTGCCCAGTTTTTCCAGCTTCGAATAAGAAATAAGGACAATGCCACCTGTCCTGACCTGCTCAGGTTACTGGAATGATGGAGTCATCTTTATTAAAAACCTGTTCAACTGTCAAGCTAAATCGAAGCATTATTAAACATGAGAAAGGGTCACTCACTCAGCAAACATTCCCTGGGCCTCCATCATGTCCCAGCCCTGCGCTAAGAACTAGATACACAAAAATAAATAACTCAGCCCCTGTTATCAAAGAGGCACATTTTCGGGAAGGGGGCAGATGCATAAGGGAACAATCTGGGCAGTGTTTGCGGCATGAAAGCTGGCAGGAGGGGAGAGGCTGCCCAGAAGGTGGGACAGGCCTTTCAGGAGCAGTGATAGACGAGTCCAAGGACCAGAGGGGCCCTGGGAAATGGGACATTTCAGACAGCAGTGAGGCCTCTGCAGGCAGAGCAGATGCATAAAGAAGTCATTGCACAGGAGGCTGGGGAGGTGGGCAGGGGTCTTCTTGGGGCGCAGTGGTGAGCTGCTGGAGGGCGTGAATAAAAGCCAGCATCATTTACTGAGTGCTGACGGTGCTTCCCACTGTGCTAAGCACTTGACATACACTTCTCATTAGTCTGCACACCGTGAGGCGGGTTCTATTACCATATTTCATTCTTTCTAGGACCCATATCTTCTCCACCTTAGGGATGAGCTACACCGTTGTGAAAAGCAAACACTGTCAGTTACAATGTAATTGGCAGTGACTTTCTCGGTGGTGCAGGAAACAGGAAGGCATCTAGTGAGAGGACAGCAGGAGCTGCCAGGGGCTGCAGTGAGAGGGAAATGCCTACTCTCAGCAAGGACGTACGTGCGTGGGCTACAGGTGGTATTGATGCTAACCTCCCTGGCAAGGCCAAGAGTAGGAAGCATATGGATGTCCGCATACATCCATGGTGAAAAGCTCTCTAGGAATTAGGCTCAGCCTGCTAAGTGGTCTGAACCAGGAGAACCCTAACCCCAGAAGAAGACATTCGCATCACACCACGTCAGAGAAACATAGGAGAGAGTGGTGAACGGACTGTGTCCAATAGGGCCAGAGGGGCTGGAGATAATCGCTCTGGAGAGGGACCTGGGAAGAACACGAGAGTGAGGGAGCAGTCTGGTCCCATGGAGCCCACCAAACAGAAGCAGGGCCAAAAAGTCAAATTCAGCCCAAAATTAAGAATGATTTTCACCATCCAGATGGCAAGACTGCCCCGGAGGAGTCTGGACAATGAAAGTGGAGGTCCGGGTTGGGGCAGGGTGGGGAACACGGTGTGGAGAAAACCCAGGCATCAGACAGGCATCAGGCTGGTCCCCACTGCCCCCAAGAGCTCTTCCACTCTTAAACAGTCAGCCTCTACAGGGAGCCTCCGCTCTGGGCCTGAAAAGAAGCAGCATGTGCGGCCCTCTGAGTCTCTGCCTGGCCCAGCACCAGACGTGCCAATGACACCCAGAGACCCCTCTGCCCAGGGCAGCCCTGTGTGAAGCTTGGTTAGTCTAAGGCTTGGCTCTGAAACTCCCTGGCAGTGCCTACTTCCCGGACAACATGGCAGGCATCTCATCTACAGGCCTAGAGCTTCTGCTACTGTTCCTGCAGAGGGTCTGCCAGCAAATAACTCCCAGAGACGACAGCTTCCAGTCCAGAGGAGGGAAGGGCTGGTGCCCACAGACACCAAGAAAACATGCATCTTGTTTGAATGCAGTCTTCACGTCATGCCTCCTCGAATGCCCCTCAGAGTGGAGCCCAGGCAGACCGCGTCCCTGAGCGGGTGCTGACGCCTAGTTCCAAGAAAATAGGCCCCTGAGCACCCTGTCCTCCTCCTGGCCTTTGTGAACCCTGCCACCATATTTTGGCAACTCTCAGACTCCACACCAGACGTCTCCTTGAGCCTCCAGCCAGCCCTGAGCCCATGTCTCCAAGGTCCCCCGGGGAGGCTCTTCACCTGGCTCAGGGTCCCCACATGAACTCGGTTTGAAGTGTGGCAGCTGAGACCCTGCTCTCGGAGGAAACCAGGGGTTCGTCCCACGGCTTACAGCTTCAGGCTCAGCATTCAGGATCCCAGGAGAGAACTCCATCTCCTCCCTTCCCCTGCCAGGTCTCCCCAGCAGCCCTCCTCACTCTGAAAAGGCCTCCACATCCCACTCTGATGGCCTTGTCAGCGGGGACAGAGACAGTCAGCTTGCCTTCACTGTTCAGAGAAAACCTTTGCTGACCACCCTTAGCCCCGGGGCCACAGAGCACGGTGGCCAGTCCCCTTCCAGATCCACCTGTCCTCAGTCCAAGGCTACACTGCTTGGGCCCCACCGCCTCCCTGACTCCAGGGTTTCTGTCCTCGTCTTCATCTGTCTTGCTGCTCAGGGACAAGCTTCAAGTCCTGCTGTGTTGTGACTATAGAACTGGTTGACTGATAAACCCACTTTTATCATTATCCCTTTCCATTTCATCAATGAGCTCTCTTTTCTACCCTTGCATGACAAGTTAGGCAATTCTTATAGTGTTTCCACACATTCTCAGATAACGGCCTCTTTGTTCGACTTCAAGGGTCCAGTTCAGTCTACTAATCAAGGAACCCCAGCACAGCCTGGTTTGAAAACCCAAGTCCTCCAGCTTCTATGCAATTTAAAGCCTGTCCTGACCCAGGCCTGGGGAGTGTGGGAAGCCTATGGACGCCAAACAGGGGTGAAGACTGCCTTTCCCCTTATTTTCTAGCTCCTCCTCACGTCTTCCTTAATCTCTGACCCTTCCAGGGTTGGATCCAGGGGCTGGCAAATTAAGGGGCAAGACTGTAGTCTTCTGAGGCTGGCCCTGTTGTCTGCTGTTGGTGTCCAGGGACAGCAGGTGCACGAGCGCCAGCCCTCCCTGCAGGGCGTGCTTTCATGCGTTCTGCAGAGATCCGTCCCCCGGACACCTCCAGCCAGTCCTCTTCTTTCTCCACCCGGGTTTCAGGGAGGCACCCCTTTGGTTGGGGAAACACGGGCAGTCCTAGGAGTCTCACTGGATGGGCACCCTTATGATGACTCCAGGAGCTCTCCCCTTCATCCACATTACGTCTTTGCCAGAGTGTCCAAACCAGGCAGGACAGCCCTCTCCTGGTGGAGCTCTCTCTGCTCTGCTTCCAGATGAGGCACTCCGGCCTCATTCTTGGGCCTCCAGGTGTCTTTTGGTCAATATTAACATACCCTTCTGTGGCCAAGGACTCCGGGGCATTAATGGTAAGCTCTCTATGAGTTGTTTTTTTTTTTTTTAAATAATTTATTTATTTATGGGGCGCCTGGGTGGCTCAGTGGGTTAAAGCCTCTGCCTTCAGCTCAGGTCATGATCCCAGAGTCCTGGGACTGAGCCCCGCATCAGGCTCTCTGCTCAGCGGGGAGCCTGCTTCCTCCTCTATCTCTGCCAGCCTCTCTGCCTACTTGTGATCTCTGTCAAAAAAATAAATTTTTAAAATCTCAAAAAAAAAAAAAAAATCCCTCTCCATCCTTACATGATTATTCATCCCCGCTTCTTAAAAAAAAAAAAAAAAAGAATTATTTATTTATTAGACAGAGAGAGACACAATGAGAGAGGTAACATAAGCAGGGGGAGTGGGAGAGGGAGAAGCAGGCTTCCCGCTGAGCAGAGAGCCCAAGGCGGGCTTGATCCCAGGACCCTGGGATCATAACCTGACCGAAGGCAGACATGTAACAGCTGAGCCACCCAGGCGCCCCTCTATTAGTTCTTTAAGTTTTTATTTTAATTCCAATTAGTTAACATCCAGTGTTCTATCAGTTTCAGGCGTACAATTCAGTAATCACACTTCCTTACCCCAGCTCATCAAGACAAGTGCGCTCCTTCCTCGCCATCCCCCGTTTCCTCCATCCCCCGTTTCCGCCATCCCCCCACCTGCCTCCCCTCTGGTGCCCATCAGTCTGTTCTCCGTAGTTAAGAGTCTGTTTCTCCAAGTAGTGTTCTTGAAGCCCACCTCACGGAGACCAGAGGGAAAATATCACAGCACGGTAACAACTCCGTCCAACCTCTCAACCTTCCCCAACCTTCTCCACCTCCATTTCTACCACACTGAGCCAGATGATGGACTGAACCTGGCAGCAGGGTTTTACAGACTCTCGGCCTGTTCTGCTAGGGGGTCCAGCACCTCCAGGCCGGATGAAGACACTCGCCAGGTAAAATGGAAGTGTCTATCACGCGCACAAGGAACGGTGAAGAGGAACAAGCCTGGGGCCTTGTAACGGTCACAGGCTGAGCAGTGGGAGCGCTAGCAAGGGAGGGGAAGCAAAACAAGAGAGCGGGGTATCCAAAAGTCAATCAACAAAGGGTAACACGCAAGAG